ACGTTTTCAGACTTTATTTTAACTTTTAAATTAAAACTAACACTAATTAATAGATAAAAATTCATTCTTTTTTTTTGAAGAAAAATTACAATTTTGAATACATAATAGTACTCAAATTCATTCAGTACTTTTTTAATAGCATCTATTTCTAATATCAAGACTTCTTTGGCAATAAATTAAAGTTTCCGAAATTACAAATTTCATTTGAAACTAACTACAAAAGAAAACTTAATTTACTTCCCATTAAAAATGTAAATGAAGAAATTTATTTACATATTAATGTTAGAAAAATATCTTTGAGGTCACAGTTAAATGATTGCATAACAATTCAGTACTACATAGCAAGGAATATTTAGTTCTTATACTTTAATCCAAACTCGTCATTTTGCCATCAACAAAACAATCCTTTAGAGTTTTTCTTTTTTTTAAATTGTAAGTTAAAAAACTGATTCAAGTGCCTTTAGTTTGCACGAACAATGGAAAATAAAGTTTACTGTCAGTCATATTTTGAAATAAAAAATTAAAAATACCAGTTTTTTTTTTAATTTGAATTGTTTATCAACGTGAAAGAAAAAGTTTAAGGGACATTATCTCAATATAAATAGAAATCGATTGTTATAAAAACCTATCAACATTTTTCAAAACAAATTTAAATTTGCATGCAAAAGTACATTATTCTTCACAATTCCCTCCCGAAAAAAACGTGTATTCTATAGTTTAGGAGAAAATAACTACGAAAGAAAAGATAAAAGTCCATTTTTTAACGAATTAATAATGCTTTTAAAATACAAATCATATTACATTCACTGTATATCTAAATAAAATTGCTTTTCAAAAGAAATTATTAATATTTTAAAGTAATTTAATTGTTTGAAAAATTTGAAAAGACAAACATTATGAAATGAATACAAAACTTTTTTTAAGACTGCTGTTTTTAAACTTTCCAATTATATAGTATATTCAAATTTAGAAAATCACATTAATTACTTAAACTGATGAAGAAAAAAATTTTCATATGGCAGCAGCAATTTTGGAAAATTTCATGATTTATTTCTAATTGAGGAAGTATTTTTGTCAATTTCTTGCTATTGCAAACACATTTTATGTAAAATAAGTTTTCTCAATTCTTCAATGCAGTAATTTTTATATTGAAAAAATTTCAAATTATTCTATGAATTCAGTTTCTTTGTTTATTTTAAGAAATAAATAGTTTTCGTTGCCTGAAATGTTGAACAATCAAATATGTATGGGACAAAACCATCTTTTATATGTTGAAACTAGAAACTAAATTTCTTAATTAATAATAATGAAAAAAAATTGTTTTACATAATATGCAAAACAAGCTTTTCTTAATTTTCAATGAAGTAATTTTCGATATCAATATTTTAAATTCTTAAAGAATTTGTAATTATTTTATGAGTTTAGTTCCCATGTTTATATTAAAAAATAATTTCTTTTTAATTTTCCCAGAAATTTGATATATCTGTCAAAACACGTTTAAAATGAAATAGTAAGAATTAAATCTTCAAAGAAATTACTAAATTTTAAATTTTATTCGTAATCTCTTAGATTGATAAGGATTTGATCTTTAGAAGAATTTTTAGAGAAAATAGTTTTATTTTTGGTTATTTAGATACAATCTGATACCTCATATAAAATAAGCGTATCAATATCACTGATAAGTGTATTAAGAGTAATCGATGTCTAAAAGAAAAATATATTTAATTGCACTTAAACACTGTTAAATTTAATTTTTAAACGAATCTCCTTAGTTGAAATATTCTAAAACCAATAATTACTTTCATGCTCTAAAGTTTTATTTTATTAAATAATTAGTATTACAATATTTTTATGCTAGCATATTTTTAGATTTAGTATAACATACTCTAACAATGACACCTTTTATTGTCAGTAAGAATGTTTTAACTTCTTTACTCCTCTCAGGTAATTAAAAAAAAAGGATTTTTAATAAAAAAGTTTGTTTTGTGAACAGCGTCCTAATGTTGCTATGTTTATTAAAGTTCATTTTCTTAAATTTATTAAAATGGCACAGGAACAGCTTTTCCAATAGCTCATCAATTGTAAACATCAACTACATAAAAGTAATAACTTATAGTTATATCAATAAGTTCAAAATACCATTACTGTAAAATTATTTATTAAAATTATAATTTTATTTTCATCAGCATCAGCAACAAATTGCTACTGGGCATATACGGAGAAAAACATTCTGGTAAAATTACAGCCGTATATCATAAAGGCATTACTGGTGAACAAAAAACTATTATTCCGTTATTGGAACCAAAATATATGGAATTGAAACCATTCACTAAGTAATTTTTCGGCTCATATAAGAACGTTTTACCCAAAATTCTGGTTTTTAAAATTATAATTCTCATCACCACACATTTAATAAAAAATACGAAACTGAAAAATAATTTAACTGAATAAATGGTTTTCATACCACGCTCTAAGGTAAAATGATAAAAGTATCAAATTTTAACACTTATTACCAAACGTTATTTTACTGTTAATTTTATCAAAATTATTACCAAAGATCTTCGGTAAAAATTACCTTGATTTTTAATGTTCCCATAGAGCCATAAACTCGATAAATTTTAAAATATTCTGGTAGTTTTGACCATACTTTTTTTCTTAGTTTAATATAATAACGTGTCATGGTTTAATTACTTATTTCAAAGGAAATGTTTTCTGTATTTTCTCACTTTTAAGAAAAGTTTATACATATCCTATTTTATGACAAATTCACTATATTTACGAGTTTGCAATTAAATAATCAAATATGCTTAACAGTTCTAAACCAGTTAAAGAGTACTTATGTAAGGTACATCACGTCATCGTTGCTTTTGCGTAAGAAGTAACCAACGTTAAGTGTTATATAAGGTTTGTTATTATGCAAGGTATTAATTATAGATCTTCACGTAATACGACTGAGTGATTTGTTTAAATTTAAAGAATACTAATGTAAAGCAGACATTTATGTAAGGAATGTGTATGAAAAGCTTGTTTTTATTTAAGGGATACTATTGTAAAGTAGAATTTTGAATAAAAATTATGTATACAGGTTTTGTTTAAGTAATACTTTAATAAAGTAGACTTTTATGTAAACAATGTGGCTTAAATAAGGATTTTTTCACATAAAGTATTTGAATAAAACTATAAAACATTTTTATATAAATATGTAAAATCTATCTTTATATAATAAGGATACATATATAGAATATGATTTTAAGTAAGGTTTATTTTTATCTAAGAAAAACTAAATGTAACAATCTTATAATATTCTTAGTGACCTATAATATTTGTTTTGTTGATTGTAAATGAACACATGATAAGTTTAATCTTGCATCGTAAAATACTAATGTATAACTTGTTCAACTTTATTTTGTTTTGTGAAACTTTCTGAAATAAAAACTTTTACTCTTATTTATATTTTCTAACATTCATTAAAAGTTTCGTTTCATACGTAAGTAAGAAAATCATAATGAATAATTTTAAAGTTAAATTCCTATGAGGGGGCAATTTAGGGGGAAAATTCTTTTAAAAATCAGTTCAGTTGAATTATTAAAATAAAATTAATATTCAGTTTTGAAGAAATGGGCTGGGCACACGTAATTCTCTGATAATTTATTAAGGGAACAAAGTTAAAATTAAATTTTCCAAAACAAAACTAATAATTTAAAAGTAAACATTCGTAAAGTCGTAAAATTTCGAGAATATTTTGTTGAATAACTGTCGCTCTTTCTCAAAATTCAGAATGCTTTTTATTTTCCAAATCGAGATTATTTACAAAGATTGAAGAACTGTACGCAATGAAGGGCCAAATACAACTGAAATACAGTTTTTCCAAAAGTTTGACAGAACAATTACGAATATTTTTTTATGAAATTTCACTTTCGCAGACCACTTTTTTTAAATTTATTCTCCAACTTCTTTTGTTCAATCATGAACACATGTTTTGTAACATTTATGTGTATAAAACATAAACTACTGAAGTACTCCGGTTCTTAATTGATTGATTCGTAAAAGTGTAAACCACTTTCACAATCAACTGTTTTTGCTCATTTATGTACGAAGTTCTCATAACTGTGATCCCAGTTATTAACTTTTTTTAAAGATAGGCGTAGAAAACATAAACAATTGGAAGGACTTGATTAATGAACTAACTCAGCAGATAATTGACAGAATGGTAAAGTGTAAACAGTGCTTACCACTTTCAAAATCTACTTTTTTATTTTATTTATATAAGTACTAAGTAATAATACTCAAATGTGAACGAATTTTTTTGTGTGAAGGAAACCGTTAACTTTTAAAATAAATACAAAAACGAGCTAGCTCGACAGTTCAGCGTCTGATTAGTAAAGTGTAAACTATTCTTACCACTTTCACAATCTACTTTTTGGTATATATAATTCAAAGTTCTTATGTTCAAAAGTGAATTAGGGTATTGCCTTGTTGAAGACAAGCGTAGAGATCATAATTATTTACAATAATTAGAATAATGAAGTAACTCGACAAAAAATGACTGATTAGTGAAGTGTAAACCATGCTTACTACTTTCTTCATCTAATTTTTTGTTTTTGTTTATGTATGATTTGAAGTTCTCATTTTCAAACGTGACTTCTGGTATTGCCTATTGTTTATTAAGCGTAGAGAGATCACAACTACCTGTAATAAATAGATGCATGAACTAACTCACCCCCCCCCAAAAAAAAAGAAAGACTGATTAGTAAAGTGTAAACTATTCTTACAACTACTACAACAATCTACAACAACTACTACAACAACTACTACTACTTACAATCTACTTTGCTGTTGTTTATATGTATGCCGAATTTCTAATTTTCAAACGTGAATTCCGGTATTGCTTTGTTGAAGACAAGAGAAGTTGTTGATGATCACAGTTATTTACAATAATTAAATTAATGAACTAACTCGACCGAAAAATGACTGTTAATAAAAATGTAAACCATGCTTACCACGTCCATAAGAAGCGTGGGTCTTGGCAGTTGAACCTGTGTCGTTCCTGTTGGCGCCTCAGGGGGTGACATCGGGGGATGTCCCGGATTGCACAATCTCTGATGTCCAGCAGCACTGGGCAGTTGCAAGGGCAAATTAGGTGGTGACGGTGACGAAGCAGCTGTCGCGCCCCCGCCACCTCCGTTTTCGGCCGAAGAAGTCGTCGTTGTCATGTGTCCACGCTCGGTGACGGCGGCCGTCACCTAAAACGAACCCGTCCAAGTCAAACAGAACGAAGACAAAAAGCACACGCACAAGAGCACGGCCAACCACTGTCGCCAACGACGGGAAAGACCTCTTCTCTCGACCGGGGAGAGTTAGACAAGAAGGTAAGGAGGATGATCACAAAAAATAAAAGAAAAAGGAATAGAAAACAAACGATTCCAAGGGGGGAGGTTCCACGACCGTACAGCACACCGTCGTAAGTGGAACTTTAGCCACTCCCCGTTTTACTCCTCCTTCGCTGGCGACATCCGCCAGGGACCCTTACGTCACGCTTGCTTGGACACCCCAAACTTTGTGACGTCACTAGAAGGGGTGGCCGATCACAGGTGAGTCCGGAGAAATCGTTTGTCGAGGTGTCATCTCCATCGCACCGATGCGATTCTCCCATGCAAATCCATTGTTCATCTTTAAATTAAAAGACTTCTATCTGCTGCGGTGGAGGGTGAAAAAAAAATTCTTTTTTTTTAGTTGATATATTTTCGAACAAAAAAAAGAGGGTTACGAAAAACATCATCTGCCTCTTTTCGTATCCACGTGGTTTTTATCCAGCATGAGTTGTTTTCCCCCCGAATAAATCTGAATGATATTCTTAGCAATGAAGGATCTGAACTGAGAACATCCTCTCTCTCGCGCGTTATCGAGGAGCAGGAAGAGCGGGTTGGTGAATTGCAATATTTGGCGTTATAGCGCTGAGTGGGGAGAATTTTTGTGAGTATTTTATTCACGCGCGCATTTCGAATTCAATGAGGCTGCTTCACGGTTTTTAAAGATTTCACAGGAAAAATTTCTAAAATTCTTTTAAAACTTTTTTAGCTTATCGAAAGGGTTAGGTAGTTATGTATCGTAAGGTAAAATTCGTTTGGGGGTCTAGACGGTTTATCCCCCCAAAAAATTTTCGATTCTTTTTTGAGAAAAATATATGTTATGTTCTGTTTTATTCAGGCAGTTCTATTTGACACCAAGTATAAGGTAATACTGAAAAAAAAAACAACAACTTCCAAAGTTCGCAGCAAAAATACTGAAACTCACTCACTGGAAACAGAAAATAACTCATATATTTTCCAAATTGGAATCGATGTAGAAAACAGATATATACAAAAAACAGTTTTAACTTGAACCGAAGCATGGTTCAATTTAAAACTTTATTAAGGTTGCATCAAATTTGAACCATATTATGGTTTACGATAACGATGTTAAGGTTCAACGTTGAATCTATTTATTTTGTTTATTTGATTATTTATTTTTTGCAACTGTAGAACTTTTTTTCCAAAACTCTAAAGGATTTTGCCATAGTGGATTTTTTTGAAACTTTCTGACAATTTTCCATGCTTTAAAAAAGTAAAAACAAAACCGAGAAAAGAGTAAAAACGGAAGCAATGCATCTTAAAACTTATTAAGTACATAAGGGTTTAATATCGTAGAAATAAGGGATAAAATGGAATCGAGAATAGAAACCCTGAATATATTATAAAAACCGTTAAAAAAGAAAAAAAAGGGAAAAGAAAAAAAACTTCAATTATTACGCTAGGGAAATTGAAACAAAAGTATGTCCACGTGAAATCCGTGAAAAAAAGACATTATACGATAATTTTTTAAACTCATTCTTTATCAAAGATGAAGTTAGTAGATTTTCTAAACATATTGCAAATGCGATTCTTTCCAGATAATTTGATCTCTTTTTGAAAATAATTAAATAAGTGAAAATAAATCAGTAAATATATATAAATGAAAATAAATAAATTAACAAAAAGTGTTAAAGAAATTTTTTTGACTGACTGTTTTTGAAAAATATTTCAATTGATGGAATCATATTTTATTTCATAAAAAAAAATTATGAAGGAAAATAATTCATCTCATAAGACACCCTAAAATAATAATTATGTATATTTTTATTGAATTAATAATTTTTATTGAATTTTAAACTACATTAACTAAAAATTTAGTATTAATTTGAAACATTATTTTGTTTAAAGGATTTTTTTTTTGAAATTTGTGAAAAAAAATTTTTATAAAAAAGTTGTTCTTTTTTTTCATTAAACTGTGGAAAACTATGGGGAAAACTTTTTAATTTTCAAACAAGCTAGTATTCTAGCTTTAACTGGGAAAAATTGATAACATCTTAATTAGAATAAATAAATACATTGTAACAAATTTTGGTGCAACTTAACGCTGAAAATGCTATCAACCACTTTACATGAAAATTGTGTGGAGAAACGCCATTCATAACTTTTGAATCTAGGTGTTGTACAACACCAAGACTGTTCTTTTACACTATTTTGGTGCAAAGTAGTCCCACCATTTTTCTTATTCAGTTACACTAAAATTTCAAATTACAGTAGATACACATATGAGTCAATAAAGTTATTTTTACGATACCATTTAAAGCAAGAATCATTAATTTAAGAGAGATGCATGTATTCTATATTTCTAAAAATAAAAGTTGTGCTTTAATCAAACATACATGTAGTACGGGGAGAATATTAATATGAATTCGAACTAGGCTTAACGAAATAGAAGCGTACAGAAACTAAATATTATGAAATTATTTAGTTAACAGATTTATGTATATCTTCTTATAAGAACAGAATTACCTTCATTATACAACTAAAAACACGAATACCTTTTTAATGAGAATTTATTTCTGTGAAATTTTTAGCGAGACGAAATCAAACTTTCATTTTCTCGGTTGTAGACAAAAAATATCAATCGTCCAACTTAAAAAAATAACGACAAAATTTTAGAAAATAACTCATGAATGAAGTAGAAGCATTTGAGTTTGAGCTGTTAATTGAACGCTCAATTTATTAATTTTTATTAACTTTGACTCAATATTTAAAATGTAGGTTTAAGAAACTTTGAGGGCTCATCTACATATGTGTACAGTTCAATTTTAGGAATTTCAAGGAAATTATCATCTTAAAAAATTTTTAGCACTTAGATAATTAATCAAATGATCATAATAAATAAATATTGTGTAGTTAAATATGACAAAATAAGAATTTTTCCCTCAAATATTTTAATATTTATTTCCTCTAATATTAATTATTTAATAATTTCATCCCACAGAACTTTATTGCACAAAGTTCTCATTGGTTTACATTGTAAAAAATTTATGATATTCATTATGAATAGCTAATGAATTTGAGTTTCAGTTATTAGCTTGAGTTATTTGGTCGAAAAATACCACATTCAACAATAACATTTTCTTTTTTCATTATTTAAAACTATTTTAGATGAAAATTAACACTTCGTAATAACACTTCAAAATTGCATGCAATTTAAATCATTGATAATGGAAATTTGTAATGTGTGTTAGGAAAATAATTTAAGAACATATAAATGTAATCATCTTCATATTAACTTTGAATTAAATTTAATAAAATTCCAGGAATGAAACCTAACCAACCACAAAATTTGAAAACTAAAAAAATTTTTTGATTGCTTCCCTTTTACAAGATGGACGCTACAGGATGGTGGCTCGGACCACTCGAGGGGTCTGTAGAGACGGAAATACGAATTTATAGATTTATGAAAAATTAGAATACAGAAAGCCTTATCTTTCAATTCGTTTCTGTGGAACATTTCTATCAATTTGTTTTTGTGGGGTGCATAGTTTCTTTGTATAGGGGGGGGGGGACAAAAAAGTTATGCTCCGAAGCCTAAATGTACCACAACACATACACTGTTAGAATTTTCAGTCTGAAATTATGGTAAAATAAAAGGCGGAAGTTTGTCCATCTGATTAACCGTAAAGCTTATGGTAAAGAAAATTTTTTATCTTTATGTTTTTGAAATCGCCTACTTTTAGTTTGGTTGGTTATAAGACCATGGATACAAAACTATACGGGTTTATTTAAACATTTACTTCTAGCATGGTTTTTAAAACCGTAATTTTTTTTTTTTTACAGGGCATAGGAGCTAGGCTTTTTGTTAGGTAATAATTGCAGAGAGCGGGACACAAACTGGGGAGGACAAGAGACTGCAAACTCTTCACGTGTTGAAGGGAATGGAGGAAATATTGTGGTGTGAGCGCTGGATCTTGAACCCCAGTTCTGTCGTTCATGAGACAGACAAGTCAGCCCTCTCGACTGGCTATAATACGTTCCCAGTTGCAAGAACCTAAGTGGGTTCAGTAAGTGGGCTTAGTTTGTGCTATAAAATACTGATTGTTTAACAGTATTAAGTGAAATGATAATAAAATGTTTTTTTTACAGTTAACAGTTGGATTACCATTTTATTTATTGCTTTTTTTTACTGTTTCGTTTGAATATGGTAAAATAACAAATAAATAAATTGTTATTTAACCATTTTTTCCGGTAAATTTCTAACAGTGTGGTGTAAGCTTTATCCTTTATTCGAGTAGCTTTATTATTATATTATCAGCTTTATAAGTTTTAATACCTTTTTATACACTGAGAAAAAAAAGTATAGTAAAAAATTTCAGAATATGATAAAATCTACCGTGTTTCTGGCTCTATGGGAAGAATTAAAAGATTTTTACCATAAAATTCATTTTGGCCGTAAAATTTTACAGAACAAAAAAATCTTACATAATATTTTTGCTGCAATATTTATTGTAAAATCACTGAATCAATATAATTAAATAAATATTAAAATACTACTCTAAAGTTTACGGTATTAAATTCGATGGTAAAAATCTATTTTACTGTAAAATGAATTTTACTGATTATGTTCCCAAATTGCTAATACTACTAACCATAGTTTGATTTGGAATTTTTTAGAATGTAAGATTTCCTTGTTTTACCGAACTATCAATTTTATTCTCTTTTAAATTACCAAGACTTCATACAAGATAAATAAAATAATAAAGTGATTAGAATATTAATAAAAAAATAAAGTTTAAAAGAGATCGATATAACAGACAACAAATTAATTGAGATTATCCGATCTGTTTTTATGTTTTTGGAAAAGAAATATAATTCCATCAGAATCGATAGCTTAAAATGTAATTCGTAACAGTTCTTTACGCATTGTTTGAAAACCATAGCTATAATTGCATAACACTTGTTGTTGAAAAAATAATAAAGGGAAATAACGAGAAAAATTCAAGAATATTTTATAATATTTCAGAAGCGAAGAAAATTTAAGTAAACTTTTGCGTAGATACTTGAAATGAAAATAGCAAAAATTTTACGTAAGCATCTCTTTGGCACTTTCGGACCTCACCCCACTTTATCAGCAAAAATAGACAAATTACAAGCCTCTTCCTTGCCTACGTAAGAAAGTTTGCAACTACCCCCATTGTGTGTTGTTTAACTTTAACTTAATTGTAATTTTAAGAATTTTAGGAAATTAGGATTACTAAATAAAAGATATAACTTAGTATAAGACGAAACTTGCGTTTTGATTTATTAAAAATAAAATTTCTTTTTGAAACGTCTGGAAGATTTTTCTTCTAGTTCTCTTCCCATTTTTAACATGTATTTCAAATTAAAAAAGAATAAATACAAAAAAAAAAAAACTCAATTTTCTACTTTCTAAATGATACAAATGTGTTAATTTTAATAACATTTAAACAAAATGGAACGATGATATGATTTTCTACTTTTTGAATGATACAA